CATTGTAATCCTTATAGAGAATAAACTTTGAATTGAATTGAATTGAATTGAATAGAATGGAGTATTCTGTTAGGTAGTGTAATTAAAAAATAACAAAGTTTGATTGGGTCTTAGGTTTAACATTTATGTGATACAATTATGAGAAACATTTAAGATATACAATTTATAAGATGCAATTAATCAGTATTTATTTGGTTGTGGGTGAGTAAGTGATCTTTGAGAAGAGACTTGAATTGTGTCTGCCTATGGTTATCAACCTAATTCATTCCAGAAGGGCGACCTAACATTTAAATGGCCAAAAACCAAAATAATATTTCCCATAAGAATAAACGGAAATACAATTAATCCATTCCAGACAAAAATAGTCACAAAAAATATATTTTTTAACAATTATATAAGTATTACATACCTTTATTGAAGACTAATGTTGGCTTCTGGAAGATAGGGAGGAGGAAAGAGGGAGGAATTAGTGTTTGTAAGAGGAATCCCCCTCCATAAAGACTTCAGGTGGCAAAGCCCTCTCTCAGGTTACATCCCTTCTTTGTCTTTTAATGCCACTAGGACCAGCTTGAGAATCACTGGGCCTCTGTCACAAATCTATCCATAGAGGTCTGTTTCTGGCATCTCTTTAAGATTTCCCTGAAGTAGTACAGGGTTTTGTCAGTGAACATGTTGCAGATATGGCTTGTTTCAGCTTGATCAGTGTGGTATTTCTCTACAAAAGCTTGCACCCTAGTCCACACTGCAAACATGTCTTTAATCTCTGAAGAAGGCACCTCCTTCACTCCCTCTTCTTCCTCCTCTGAAGCAAGTTCCTAAGCTGCAGTGTGTTGCTGTTTGAGTTGAAGCTCTTACAGCTCATCAGTGGCTAGCTCATCCCTGTGGTCCTCCACCAACTCTTCCACATCCTCGCCATTCACCTCCAACCCCAGGGGCTTCCCCAGTGCTACAATAGAGTCCACAGGGATGGCAGGGTAAGGGTCAGCCTAAAACCCTTCAAAATCCCTCTCTAGGACACAACCTGGCCACAATTTTCTCCAAGCAGAGTTCAAAGTCTTGGAGGTCACTCTTTCCCAAGCCTTACCTATAAAGCTTATGCAATTGAGGATACTGAAGTGATTCTTCCAGAACCCTCTTAGGGTCAACTGAGTGTCTGAGATCACTTCAAAGCACTTTTGAAACACTGCTTTTGTATAGAGTTTTTTGAAGTTAGAAATGATTTGCTGGTCCATGGGCTGGAGGAGAGGAGAGGTGTTAGGAGGCAAGAACTTCACTTTCATAAACCTGAAGTCCCTAAACACTTGGTCTACCAAGTCTGGAGGATGTGCAGGAGCAGTGTCCAGTATCAGGAGGCACTTGAGTGGCAATTTCTTTCCCAGGAGATATTTTGTCACACTTGGGCCAAACACATCATTAACCCACTCTTTGAAAATTTACCTTGTGACCCATGCCTTATGTTTAGCTTTTCACATCACACACAATCTATTCTTGATAACATTGCTTTTCATGAACACTCTAGGATTTTCTGAGTGATACACCAGTAAAGGTTTCACTTTGAAATCCCCACTAGCATCACCACACAACAAAAGAGTAAGCCTGTCTTTCACAGGCTTGTGTCCTGGCAGTGCCTCTTCCTCCTGTATGATGTAGGCCCTGTTTACCATTTCCTTCCAAAACAGGCCTGTTTTGTCACAACTGAACACTTGTTGGGGTTTGAATCCTTCAACCTTTACAAAGTCCTTGAATTCCTGTACATTCTTTTCAGCTGTACATTTATCAGAACTTGTAGCCTCTCTATGCCTTACAACACTGTGTATGCCACTACACTTCTTAAATCTCTCAAACCAGCCTTTGCTGGCCCTAAAAAATTCACTACCAGCAGCACTTGTTCCAAGAGTTTTCCGTAGAAGTTCCTCATGTAACAGCCTTGCCTTCTCACAAATAATAGATTCCATAACACTGTCTCCCACTAATTGTTTTTCCTTAACTCACAATAACAACAACTTTTCCATCTGTTCCATTATTGGTGACCGTTGTTTCGTTAGAAAAGTTACTCCTTTTGCAACATCAGTATCCTTGATTTGTTCTTTCTTTGCCAGGATAGATGTTTATTTCTTTTCCCTAGTAAGTAAGTAAGTAAGTAAATTTATTCAGGTATACACAAATACAGTTACATAGAATTATCATACATAGCAGCATATGTGTAGAGAACCTAGGATAACCCAAAAAAGTCAGACAGAGTGACTTATTTCCTGGCAAGTTCCAGCACCCACATACCACTCTCATATTTTTCAATCACTTCATGCTTTAAATTCGATGGTGTTTCTCACTTTTTTTACCACAGGAACTTTCTTTGGAGCCATGGTTACTTATTTTGCAGTTGCACTGCAAAAAAAAAAAAAAAAAAAAAAAAAAATTGGAAAACAAGTAAAATGTTAGGATGTATGAACAGAAGCTTCCTCATGCACCGAGAGACACAGCCAAACTGATGTGCAAGTGGCCCCAGCTGGTGGATGGATGGGTCCGCAATGGTCGATCACAAAAATAATGGCCAATCACTAGGAGCCGAAAAACTGGCAGATCACCAAGTTGGCTGATAACAGGAACAGCCGTTAACCGAGGGTCCACTGTAATTAAAATTGTACGTCTTCTCTACTAGAATTATTAAAGCCACATAGCATTACCCAAGAGGATACTCAGTTCTCTTGTATTCATTGTAACTCATCTAATTACCATATGAACTGTTATTGTCTTATTAATCTTAAGTTAATTTTAAGTTTGCCCAAAATGCATCTGCTAGAAAAATGACAGGATGGATAATGAGAACCTTCAAAACTAGGGAGGCCAAGCCCATGATGACACTCTTCAGGTCACTTGTTCTATCTAGGCTGGAATATTGCTGCACTCTAACAGCACCTTTCAAGGCAGGTGAAATTGCCGACCTAGAAAATGTACAGAGAACTTTCACGGCGCGCATAACGGAGATAAAACACCTCAATTACTGGGAGCGCTTGAGGCTTCTAAACCTGTATTCCCTGGAACGCAGGAGGGAGAGATACATGATTATATACACCTGGAAAATCCTAGAGGGACTAGTACCGAACTTGCACACGAAAATCACTCACTACGAAAGCAAAAGACTTGGCAGACGATGCACCATCCCCCCAATGAAAGCAGGGGTTGTCACTAGCACGTTAAGAGACCATACAATAAGTGTCAGGGGACCGAGACTGTTCAACTGCCTCCCAGCACACATAAGGGGGATTACCAACAGACCCCTGGCAGTCTTCAAGCTGGCACTGGACAAGCACCTAAAGTCAGTTCCTGATCAGCCGGGCTGTGGCTCGTATGTTGGTTTGCGTGCAGCCAGCAGCAACAGCCTGGTTGATCAGGCGCTGATCCACCAGGAGGCCTGGTCACAGACCGGGCCGCGGGGGCGTTGACCCCCGAAACTCTCTCCAGGTAAACTCCAGGTAATACAAAGGGGCTTTTGGCATGTACACCCAATTATTATTCTCCTTTTTACAAACGTGTACAGTGGACCCTCGACCAACAGTATTAATCTGTTCCAGAGAGCTTATCTTTAGGTGAATTTATCGTTAGTCGAATTAATTTTCTCTATAAGAAATAATGGAAATCCAATTAATCCATTCCAGACAGCCAAAAGTATTAAAAAAAATATTTTTTTTCATGAAATATACATTTCCCTACAAAGAAAACAATGGGACATGAACAATAACTGCATAAATAAATGCTAAAATGACATTTACCTTTATTGAAGAGTATTGATGAGTGATGAGACACTGTTTTTCTTGAACATTCTGGGATTTTCAGAGTGATACATGAGTAAAGGCTTCACTTTGCAATCCCCACTTGCATTACAATAAAACATGAAAGTTAGCCTGTCTTTCATAGGCTTGTGTCCTAGGAGTGCCTTTTCCTCCTGAGTAATATAGGTCCTGTTTTGCATTTTCTTCCAGAACAGGCTTGCTTCATCACAATTGAACACTTTTTGGGGTTGGAATTTTTCAGCTTTTCCATGCCTTATCACACTGTGTATGCCAGTATGATTCTTAAATCTCTCAAACCAACCTTTGCTAACCTTAAATTCAACAATATGAGCACTAGTTTGAGGTATTTTTTCCTGTTCACATGGGTGTTAGTCGACTGGTGTGGGTCGCATCCTGGTGGACAAGATTAAGGACCCCAATGGAAATAAGTTAGACAGTCCACGATGATGCACTGACTTTCTCGGGTTATCCTGGGTGGCTAACCCTCCGGGGTTGTTTCTCAGTGATTGTTTCTCGTTAAGCCACATCAACAACACTCTCTACAAATTCGAGTAGTACAGCTGATGGTGGTGCAGCAGCAGCTGGCGATGGTACAGCAGCAGCTGACGGTGGTGCAGCAGCAGCTGACAGTGGTGCAGCAACAGCTGATGGTGGTGCAGGAGCAGCAGCTGATGGTGGTGTAGCAACAGATGACCATGGTACAATAGTATTTCAATAGCATTTCTCTCCCTTTTTATCACAGGGTTGACACTAGAAGCTTTCTTTGGGCCCGTGGTGGATTATTTAGCAGTTACAAGCACTAAAAACAATGGAATAATACAAAATATATTGCATGTATGCGTGAAACCGTCCATCTTGGCTTGTAAACAATGGCACACTAGGTGAAGGCAGGACAGCTGAGGCGCGCTCAGCTGGACAGACAGGCAGACACATTTGGGACAAATGCTGTTAGTCGAGTTTTTCATCATTGGTCGGGCCAAAATTTTTATGCTAAAACGCTTTGTTGGGCGATTTTTTCGTTAGATGATACCTTCATTGGTCAGGGGTCCACTGTATCATGTCAAATCAAAATATCATTATTATAAGAAATATTTATATCTAATGATTACCTTACAAATAAATGATGAGCAAAGGCAGGTATCAAGAGCTGGAGCTCTACCTTTTCAGATATAAATGAGTGAAAATATCCAAATATAAAAATTAACTTACCATCCTCAATGGCCCTTGAGTGAAACTTTACTGACGGTGGAACTATGTGCGATGTGGTCAGTGGTCCAGCAGTGGGACTGGCCAAGATGTTGCCTGTGGTCAGTGGCCCAGCAGTAGAACTGGCCAAGATGTTGCCTGTGGTCAGTGGCCCAGCAGTGGGACCGGGCAGCAAGTTGCTTGTGGTTGGTAATCAATGGGTACTGGATGTAATGCTCCCTGTGTTGGGATAAACATCTTTATTTGTACTTAATACAAACAATTATTTATTATAAATAAAGAAAGGTTAACCCTTAAACTGTCCAAATGTAGATCTACACTCGCTCGCGTGGCGCTCCGAACGTGGATCTATGTTCGATTTTACATGCTTTCTTGTGTAAAAAAGGTAGATCTACGTTTGGAGTGCTACTCGAGTGAGCATAGATCTATGTTTGGACAGTTTAAGGGTTAATTTGCAGGTTTATGTTCCATGGGCATCATGAATTATGAATACCAAATTTTTCTCATTGCTACAACTGAAATTTTTCAGTTTCTAAATATGCTTCTCTTATTTACTGATTCTGCAGCTGTTGAATATAAATAAAGATTACACCACATACAGTGAGGTATGTTGTAACAAACAATTTATACAACAAATATTTACATAAACATTAATTCTCTCCTCTGCCTCCTGTCCTGCAAGCTCAGCAACATGAAACTAGGATAAAATACAGTATTTTTTTTTATTATTTTTGTACTAATTTGTTTTATTACAAGTGTTAATGGTATTCTTTATTCCTAGAGTTTAGATGCACATTTATGCATTTTTCACAATTTTATATTATATTTTTCATTGTTATGTGGTTATATTATAGCATACCTCACTGTACATAGAATACAAGTACTATAAACAGAATTGTATATCAAGTACTATATACAGTAGGGCCCCGCTTTACAGTGTTTCGTCTTATGGCATACTGTTAATACAGCGATGTCAAATTATGAAAAAAATTTGCTATATGGCAAGGGGTCTTTCAAATACAGAATGCCTCACCTGGTTTTTTACATTCTCTGTGACTACATCTGTTATGTCTGGGAACTTTCCAAAATTTCAAGTATTTTAAACTTTTCAGGGTTTCCGACGTACTAGTACGGCTTACACACCAGGGTTATTCACGTACTAGAATGCCTAAACTCTAGCACATTCAAATCTAGTGAGAGAAAGCTGGTAGGCCTACATATGAAAGAATGGGTCTATGTGGTCAGTATGCACAGTACAAAAAAATCCTGCAGCACAGTGCACAATGAGAAAAAACAAACTCCGACCATGTTTTAGGATTAAAAGTGACATTGCAGTGTATTATCATATGGTATTTATGGTGGTATTCTAGTTTTCCTGATCTCATTTTATAGAATGGAAGACATATTACAGAAACAGAGATGATTTTGATTGGTGTCATAATGAAAAGTACCTTGAAATTGAGCTCAAAGTAGCAGAAACATTCTATTTTTACCAAATTTCAAAAGTAAACAAATCATGTCAAGCGTCCAATACATGTCAACTGGTGAGTCTAATATTCTTTCACAAGTGCACTGATATTATTTATACCATTTCAACACCATTTCTACACTAATGCAGTAGTCTGCATAACAGTAAATCTTCTATTTTTTGTGAGAATAAAAATTCAAAATCAAAAGCAAAAGAGATGTAAGAGGGGCCTGGGGACATAACTAATGAACAGAGAAAATGTTATTTTAGTGTCAGGAATGTCTGTCTTGCTTTTTCTGCACCCTATTTGGAAATTGCCATCTTCTGAAATCTGTGTGTAACTGGCAAAATTGCCAATTTCTGACCACTTTATTGCATACTTGAAATCAGTAAACGGGTGGTTTCTTGTATTCATTCGATAGAAAAGATGGAGTTCTAGTGAAATAGATATGATTTTTGTTGACTAGTACACTGAAATTGGCCAAAAGCAGAGCTCAAAGTGGGCGAAATTGCCGATGGGTCAACTTCGTTGAGACCGCTAACTTCACGAGAGCTTAATTCCGTAACTTTTCCATCAAATTTCATACTTTTGGTGTCATTATGATCGGGAAAATATTCTCTGTCATTTCATAAGAAAAAATAATTTTTCTTTCCAAAATATTATCAACCCTGAGAACGAGTTCAGGAGAGGGCCTCTAGACGTTTTAACAGGGCGTATTTTATATGTACTATGATAATTATACTTATGTGTACCTGAACAGGTATCATCAAACTTACAACCGAGATCGGTTCCGACAAACCGGTCGTAAGTCGAAATGGACGTGAGTTAAACCTTACTACTGAATATGAACATCACGGTTTTGTAATGACTTTATTTTATTGTTTTATTTTGGTATTTAATTTTTTACTTTACTTTTTATGCTGTTAGTACTGTATTTTATACTGAAAGGTTTAGGATAAACACTGTGTACAACACAGACAGTTGTTTATTTCCCAGAAATTTGGCATAGAAAACACGGTCATAAGTCAAATGGTCGTATGTCGAGCAGGTCGTAAGTCGGATGGTATGTGTACCTAAATATATTTACACACTGCGCTGGTGTGCAGGTACACATTAAAATCACTAAGAGTCTCTCTACTCATGACACCAATACTACATAATAATCACTCTTGGGCACATCAAATGTCTTATTTTAAATTAATATTAACCTTTTCAATTCAATTCAATTCAATTCAAAGTTTATTCTCTATAAAGATTACAATGTTGAATTTACAGAATTTGGTTGTTGTGTGGTTTACATGTAGTTAAATAATGATTACAGCGTGTACCACTAAAATGCCTAGCATGGCTAGGCATTTCTGGCAGACTTAGTTTAATTCTTTATTTTAAAATATTACAAATTATGAGGTAAGTTGGTATTATGGCTAAGTGACTAAATACTAGTTTGTGAGTTTAGCAAAGTGAATGCTTTTGTTTTGGCACAGTACATAGTTTCAGTATTGGAGTATCATAGGATTCATTATTTTAAGATTGAGATTAATATTTCTGTTTATGGTCAAATGGGTGAGTGAGTGTAAGTGTGAACCACCAGGTGGTATTCGTGTAGTTAGTTGATGGGGTGTATCAGGGAGATATGATGTTTTCTTATGGTAGTTTTGAAGGTGATGAATGTGTCTGCAGTTCTAGAGTTCTCAGGTAGGGTGTTCCAGATTTTAGGCCTTTGACATACATTGAATTTTTGTAAAGGTTTAGTCGGACACGGGAATGTCGTAGAGATGTTTGTGTCTGGTGTTATGCCTGTGGGTTCTGTCACAACTATCAAGAAAGCGTTTTAGGTCAAGGTTGATATTGGGATTTTAAGGTCCTGTAGATGTAGTTTGGCACAGTAGTAAGTGTGGATTTTACTGAACAGGGAGTAATTTTAGATCTATGAAGAGTGGGGGGTGTGTTGCCAGGGATGGGATTTAGTGATTATTTTACTGCAGCTTTTTGTTGGGTTATTATTGGTTTTTAGGTTTTGTTGCTGCAGTTGATCCCAGCACAAATAGCATAGGTGAGGAAATGGATAAATAAGTGAGTGGTATAGTGTGAGAAGGGCATTTTGCGGCACATAGTATCGTATCTTGGAGAGGATCCCAACCTTTTTGGATACTTTTTTGGTTATGTGTTGGATATGGGTGCTGAAATTCAGGTTGTTGTCAAGGAAATAGGCCTAGGAATTTGCCCTCATTATGTCTGGTAATTGAGTGTTGTCGATCTTAATGTTAATTTGTGAATCCCCTGCTCTGCTACCAAACATAATATATTTTAGGTTTTGTCAGTGTTAAGCGTAAGTTTATTGGCTGTCATCCAAGTCGATATTTTATCAGCTCCTCGTTAACAAAGTGTTGAGGGGGGGCAAGATTAGGTGAGAGATGACATAAGTCGTGTCGTCAGCATAGAGAATGGGTTTCAGGTGTTTGGGATACGTTTGGAAGATCTTTGATGTATATGAGGAAGAGCAGGGGACAAGAACACTTCCCTGCGGAACTCCAGTATCAAGTGGCCGTGTTGTTGATGCTGTGTCTTTAATGGTGACATACTGATACCTATTAGTAAGGTAAGATTTAAAAATAAGCAAGCACATGGCCTCTTATACCGTAAATGGTCAAGTTCGTGGAGTAGGATGTCATGGTCTACTGTGTCAAAAGCTTTTCTTAGGACAATAAAAATTCCTAGTGGATATTCCTTATTTCCCAATGCTGTGTAAAGCAGATCTAGCATTTTATGATTGCATCATTATGCTTTTATTTTTCCTGAATCCAAATTGGCAGGGGGTTGAGTATTTTTTTGTGCTGTTATAAATGAATATAGTCTTCTGTGCACGTGTTTCTCAAAGATTTTGGATAGCAATGGTAAGTTTGATATTGGCCTATAGTTGTTTAAGTCTGTAGGGTCACAACCTTTATGTATTGGTGTAACCCTTGCCATCTTGAGTAGTTTCGGGAAGGTGCTAGTTTCTAGTGACTTGTTAAAAAAGTAATAAAATAGCACGCGAAAGATATGGGCCGCTCGCTTGTACAGTAAGGTGGGACATTAGACAGATTCCCTGAGTTTTTTTTTAAGAGACTTTATAATCTCGGTAAACTTCCGAGGCTCAGTTGGTCAAGATAGAAGGAATTTGGGAAAATTCCCATCTAGGTAGTCCCCGGCATGGGCTTTGCTATGTGGGATTTTATTGGCGAGATTAGATCCTATGGTTGAGAAAAAAGTCGTTTATCTTGTTAGCTGTGTCGGGTGGGATGTAGGGGGTGTTTCATTAGGTTTGTTAGGACAATATCTTGGTTTTTTTTCAGTTTGTGGGTCCCTAGAATCTGAGAGAGTGTTTTCCTGGTCTTTTTTATATCTCCTCTAGTGTCTGGGGTTTTCTATGGAGTAGTATAGTTGTTTGGCTTTCTTTATTACTTTGGTGAGAACTGATGAATAGTGTTTAAGAATATCTTTGTGTATTAAGCCTGTCTATATTGCTTTTCATTTTGGGTGTTTCTTGTCAATGGATTTCAGAATGGTGCTGGTTAGCCATGGGCAACCAAGCCGTTTGTTTGTGATCTGTTTCATTTTTATAGGGAAATGTTTTTTGTATTTGTATAAATAATTTGTTAAGAAAAATGTCTGTCCAGTCATCAGTACCATTGGCCTTGGAGAATTCTGCAGGCCAGTCAACAATCTCTAGGTCAGCTGTGGAACTTCCTTATTGAGGCCTCGTCATGAGTCTAAATGGAG